TGACTGGGCAATTCACTCGCGGAAACTGAGATTTTCTTTCGTGTACGAGAGCGAAGTGAATCCCTCTCGAATTCGCGTGAGATTTCACTCCGGGAAACTCGGAGAGCACGATACGTCGCCTTCCCTCGAGGGCGAAGGGTGAGGACGAAGTACGACTCGCGCAGGGGGGATCCACCAGCTCGCTCCGTTCCGAGCGGTCTTTTTCGCGCCGATCGTGCGTGCCCCTACGAACCGAAGATCGGCCGCGAGAAAACGCGCGAGTAAGCGGCAACGAGACGATGAATCCCCCGCGCGATGGGATCTTATCTCTGCTCGGGCACCGTCATCGTCGTTCTCGGAGCGTCTCTCCGAGTCGTCCTATGCGTCTCATCCACGAAAGACTCGCCCGTGCCGTTACGATCGACGAACGCATGCACGCACGCACCTGGCCGCAATCCGGTAGATATAACCCGGTGAAAGTCTACGAAAAGTAACGCTTCACGATAAGCCGGCCGATTACGCGGCCGTCTACTACTGTCGAAATATCTTCTCTAGCGGGCGGTTACACTCCGCTTCCCTACCGCGAACATTACCGATAACACGTCGGGACGCGGAGAAACGCGCCCTCCGGTTAATACAAAAATACTGTTCTGATGCACCATATCTTCACCTACTATTCCTACCATTATGCACAATAATCCCTGTAGTCTTTAACACTCCGTTATCGTGGACAAGGAAAGAATACTGAGTACGACAGCTGTGTATGTGTCTGTGTGTGCGCACATGTGTCAGTTTGCCAGCAAGGAAAAGAGAACCAAGGAGAATCACCGCTAAAGTACCGAATCCCGATTGCGGCTCCGTGGAGCAGGCAGGTATGTCGCTCGTGCGCCGATTCGCGAAGCCGCGCGAGCTCACGGAGGCTCGTTTCTCTCATCCGGACGAGATTCCTGCTGAGTCGTAACGCGCGCGATCCTTGTGATTTATCCCGAGCAAGGCCTCCGTACCCAATAGTCTTTACTTGAAACTTATCTCTAAATATTCCGATTCGAATTTCGAGTAATTTCGATTTTACGATGAGCGTGACGTTACATTTGTAACCGCGATTCAATACGTTCGCGACCACTGCTTACTGGGGGAATTTTTCCCACAGACCGCACGTTGTATTTGATTTTATGTAATTGTGCAGAGCATACTCTCGGTTTTTGTTTATGTGGATATAAAAAGAACAATTATCGCCATCACACGTTGGTAACGAGCGTGTCAATTTGGAGTAAAGTGGAGATTGAAGTGAAAGATCGGTGCGTCATACACGCGTGACGCAGTAATCTAAGATAGATATTTCTTGGGCAAAACTCATTCTTCAAATTTCCTTTCAAATTAATATAAACGCAGTTTTATGTTTTCTATAATCAAGTAATCATAAATTGCTAACATTTATTATCCTTTCACCGATAAACGCTAAAAATATTGCTCATCCAAAGGCAACTTTTACTCACGCTGAAAAAAATATAATGTTTTTCATTTTATCAATTAAGACTCCGAGTTTTGGCGACAAACTTGTATTTTCAAACCACTGTGGCGTCGGTCGCGAACATGTCGATCTCGAAAATTCTCTGAATTTACACCTGGGTATCTCACTTGAAGCACATTTCAAGTAACGACTATTGAACTACAGTCCACAGCCTTCTCTCGAGTTCGCCGATTCTCGCGTAGAAATTTTCCCAAATTCTTCCGAATATACAACACGACTGGCCGCGATCTAAGACCAGGGTCTCGGCTTAGAACCGCCGACGCTGCGAGCGGCGAAATGCCTCCGGCATCGGAAAAACGATCGATCGTCGATGCACAACGCCGCGGAGGAAGGATCCCGCGTGAATTCGCGGTCGTCACGGGCGACGGACTGTCGTTGCGTTCGGTATTCCATGTTCCTCGATCGACATTAATACTACGGTTTAATCAGTTATAGCTCTCGGCGCGGAGTCGCGACCACGTCACGGGAGTCACGCGTCTGTTCCTTGCCGCGCCGCTCTCGTTATTTACTACGGTTATTAATCGTATATTTTTATATATACTTTTTTTTATGTATATATATATATATAATATGTATATATATATTCAGCATCACAGTAAGATAGCGCCCTTCATTATTAAGTTATCATCGATCAGCTCGGACCGGTTATATCTCATTCCTGTCAACAACATACTCTACACAACAACCCGCTTCAACATCGTCAAAGAGCGTCGATCGCGTCCGAGCGTGGACGCGGCGATTACGTACTGGACAGGTGACGATACCTGTTCCACCTGTCAGGATTTCGAAAGAGAGAGACGGACGGGAGAATGTTGATGGAAAAGAGAAGAAACGAGAAGAGAAACGTCGTAGACAGGTACCGCACCTGATCGAAAGCCAAAGTGGCGGTGACTACGCCAGTTTTGCAGGCGCGCGTGTCGATGATCGTCAACCGAAACACAATGTGACCGTTCTGCCCTGAACCGACGGATCTCGATAAAAGAACGCTCGTCGAACGAGCGTTCGGAGCGCGCGACTGAGAGAGCGCCAGGGCGTCATATTGCGACACACTGCAAAGCACCGCGGACAGAGCTTGCGTGATCGAGACGAATCGAACCGCGGAATTCTCTTGGTCCGAGAGAGAGAGAGAGAGAGAGAGAGATTTCTGGCAGTCCTGCCGAGAAAATTCGCGATCCCGAGCGAGTACCGGCGGACAAAGTAAGAGGCTACGTTCGAGAAACGCAACTGTTGTTGAGTCATTGCACAAAAAACTAGGAAAGGCTCGCGTTCTCATAAATTAGCAAAAATATATAATCTTATAAAGATCTTACGAAGATAAATTTTGCTCTTATATGAAGAAATTCCATATAGTTCCATTAAAAATATATTCATGTTATTTAAGAATAATTTTCGTGAATTTGTGTGAGGAAAAAATATCGGATGAAAGGACGACATTTTCAAACTGACACAATTCTTAGTTCGAAGTTAATTGTCTTTTCCATCCAATATTTTTTCCTCTCAATTAATAAAAATTATCCTGGAATAACAAGAGTGTGATATTTAATGGGACTATCAGGGTGGCCGCAAGAAATGAATTTTGAAATTCCCTGACTTTTCCATATTTTTCGGACGACAGTAGAAAATTATTCATGACCAATATGTAATCTTAAATTTTAACGTTTAGAAGCAAAAACTGAAGGAAAGACAGATTTTGTTCTTATATGAAGCGATCCAAATTTAGAAGTTTAGTAACAATTGAATGCCAACAATTCGGACCAATAAAAAGTAAATGAATATTGGAAAGAAAGCATACTGTTATAACGGAAAAAGGAATAAAAAAAAACACTGAATAAAAGTGACCAATTACATTTGATTGTTTTCCTTACGATCGAAAAATAATCGACCGTAACTAGTCACATTTTTTTACTGTTTACGTATTACTACGTTATATCTCGTTCCCATTATTAAGTTTTTCTGTGTCACGTAAGAAATGTTTTTAAGAAATGTTCTGCAATCATTCCTCGGAAAAATTTGAATTATATATTCATCCATGGCACCACAAGATCTGTGCTTTGCCTCGGATAGCCTAACATCTCTTTCTTTGTAAGATACGGAATCTAGTGCCTTCTAATTTAAGGAAAAATAAAGTTGTGCCTGACTACAGGAGTATCGGTTTTACCGTAAACGTTCATACAAACTTCTCAAACAACCCAATAGAATTTCTTCATGTAAGCATGTTTTATCTTCATATAAGATTACACATTCTCACTGAGAATATATGAATCTTGAATTGGTGCTAGTTTTTTCCCGTGCGGAGTGTTCCTTTGGATTTATCATTAATCCGGAAGAATACTTCAGTCAGAGGCGATAATTACTCAACGTCACAACCGTTGTATTTCCTCAACGCGTCCAATATCTCAACGAGGTGTTGATGTGCTTCTCAATGACTGCGCGCGCGACCATGCCGTTCGTTTTGCGTCTCGTCTTAGCGTCTCGAGAGCTCGCTGCTGGCACTGCTTGATTCAATGTTCGGCCGTGCCGAAAAGGATCTCGTACTGTTTCCGACGTGTTCCTTTAATCTGTCCTTTCGGGACGCCGACTGATTTCCGCGTCGTCGTTGTCATCGTCGTCATCGTCGCGACGACGCTTATTTCAATCATTTGTACTTGACCCTACCACCGTCAGCGCGACAGCTGACCGGCCAATTACGTCTCGGCCCCGCTCGAGCCGAGCGGGGGACACCGCTGAATCCCGGTGACATTTTCAGCATACTCGACTATACCGGAACGTCGGCCGGTATATCAATTGTTTCGACATCATTCCCTGCGCGTCCCTCTTGATCGAATCGAGCCTCGTTGCTCGTTCGATAAACAGCAAAATAGAGAAATCTTACAAATAGATACTTCTTACTATAGATTACTCTGAAAATAAATAGTTATAAAAATAAGCGGCCACATTTTATGCTTAAAATACCTTAAGGTAGAACTTAATTAGCTTAATAACACCACATGCGGAGTGGAATGTGTGTGGTATTTCTTTCTCCCTTACTACAAGCGTAACTCTAACGAAGGTTCAACTACCAAGTGTAAAAAACGTTAACGATAACTTGTCAATCGTAATTATCAATAGTGCAATATAGCTCAATCGAGAAAGAGAGAGAGAGAGAGAGAGAGAGAGAGAGAGAGAGAGAGAGAGAGANAGAGAGAGACGTGAATCAATAAATAAGAGTGCAACAAGAGATTAGAAATGTGTGTAAAAGCGACGACGCCGTGAAAGAGAGAACCGGCGGAATCGCCGTCTCGTGTCCGCGGCGATACCGTCGGAAAAATCCGTAATTCGCGGAATAAATAACTGTATATTCCCTCCCGCGCGGAGAAACAGCTTAGGTACAACACTCGATTCCTTTTCCTCCCTTCCCCCACCCCTTCCCCTCCCCCCAACCCTTACCGCAAGTCACAGCTCTACGCACTGTGGAAGAATCAAGGAGATATTTACACGCGCAATTGCGACGGTAGCAAGTCACTTGCTCGCCCCCCCCCTCCCCCCGTTCTCCCCCCGTTCGAGACGCTTTTCCTCGTTCGCGTTTCTGCCCCGAGCATCGTTCCGTCGTTCTCGCTCACGACTACCTACCACGAAGGCTCACCCCGACGCCGAACACACCGGTGTGCCGAAGAAATATTCACCGAAACGAACGTCGTGAAGTTCAACCGGCGCGCTGAGAAACAAGCGGAATCGGGCTTCGGCGATCTCGCGGTGCTGAAATTTCGAGTGTCGGGGTGTGTGTGTTCGAAGAACGTTAGACCGTAGAGCGGGACTGTATCGACGAGGGTGAGCGTGCCGAACGGGACGAGACGGCAGACGGCGAAGGTGTGATGTCCACCGTGAGCGACTCGCGCGACCCCGCCCATTATAACTTAAAGTGGGGAAAACTTTTTTGTACTTTTCTACAAATTTTTCTTCATATCTACTTTATCTACATATCTAACGGCGATATATCCCCGGTAACGTAAACGTGTCTCGCAAGGAGCCGCGGTGGCCGCGCAGCAGAGCGAGGCGGCACCGCGGAGGGTGTGTTTCAAATCAAACGGCACGATATTCATGACGACACGCTCTCGGGTGGAGAGATTCCGACGAGTCCAACCGAGAGAAGAATAGCAATGCGCGCCTCGGCGGGCAGCCGAGGGCGAGGAGGTCGGTAGTAGTAGTATACCTTTAACGTGAGCGCGAGCCAATGAGGCGGGCCCGATCAAGTAATTCCGCTTGGACTCGCCGAGTTTGCGTAGGGCCGAACTAGACCCGCTCTGGCACCATTTCAATATTTTACTATGCCGAAACGCCGGTCGAGGATCTTATACTATTCCCGACGTGTCCTTTTGGGACGCTGGCTGACGCCCACCGCGTCGTCGCCGCCGCGCGACTTCTTACCGATCTGCACCTGGCTCTGCGCCGTCAGCTGCAACACCACCGCGCTGGTGTTGAGCTTCTCCGCCAGCAGCAGATCCTTCAGACCCTTCATCTTCTGACTGTACAGGATCACCCTCGGCCTGTCGTTCTCGGAGTCGGTCTCCACCTCGGGAACGACGTTCTCCTGGGAGGTGGAGGGCGCGGGCGGCAGAGCGTCGTCCGGCGGCGCCACGAACGGCTCGCCGTCGCCCTGCAGTAAGTAGTCTCTGTTAAGTATCTTCTCGCTGCAGGCCGCGGTCAGCGCCTGAATACTGGGATGCGTCGGTGCCGGGTTCGAGGGCACTTTCGACTCGAGGCTCTTGATGAGGTCTCGCGCCGCGTTACCCCTCTCCTTGGTCTTGCAGTAATTGTTGTTGTTGTTGTTGAGCGTCTCCTCGGGACTGGTCTCCCTCTTCTGCGCCGCCTGCTCCTCCGGCCTCGCCTCCGTGCTGTAACACTCGATTACCACCTGGGCGCGTATACCGGCGTCGAATTTCGAGATCGTGTTCACCAGCGGCCGGGCCCAGCCTATGTGCAGCACCGGGGTGTTCGCGCCCTCCTCCCACTGGCAGATAGCGTCGTAGAATCTCAACAGGTGTGCGAAGCAACGCGGCTGCCGCAGCAGTCGCTCGTCGGCGCGCACCGTGTGCGGTATCAGCTCGTTGGCGATCTCGATCAATTCCTTGTATATCTCGCCGTCGTCCCGTGAGTAGTCGTATCTGTCGCGCATGTGAACTAGCGTTAACGGACACGAACGTACCGACGCGAAGAGAGAGAGAGATCGCACGTGAGATACTCACTTTCGTAAAACATCAGCGGCGTCCGCCCACGACGACAATGCGTTTGCGTGCAGCCCGTGTCGATACAGATATCCGCCTTGGTAAGTGTAAGGATAGACGTGCGCGTTCCCGTAATACTTCCTGGCCGATCTTATGGCTTCCTGCACGCATATTAATCACGTTCAGTGTCTCGAAATACCGAAGGTACGGCTTTCGCGCTGACAAACCTGGAAGAGGTCTATGGCGGGCGGTCTTCCGGGTGTGGGCGCAGCCTCTTCCAAGTCACCCAGGTTACCAAGCGCCATCGGGTACTTGGCGAGATGGCCCAAATCATACAACAGCCACAGCAACTCCTGCTGGAGCAACGCGACCTCCGCCGCGTCGGCTGTTGCACTCAGACTAGGGTTTATGGCCGACACTATGGTAGCCACCTCCATAGCACGAGAGCACACGACCGCATGGCCGTTCACGTACAACCACGATCGAGATGCCACCCCGGGCTCCACCGGCTGCCCGCGTTTGTCTTCGTTACCTTTCCCTGCTATCGAATGACAATCAGAGCACTTACAATATGTCCGTTCTTTGAAGGAGATACGAGAGCCGGTGATCGCACAGTCGGATCTCACACGAGGGTTTGTTCATTTTAGCTGAACTAGATCGCACTGTTTGGCCTTTAGAATGAAACAAGCGTGTAACTTAGCGTTGAAGAGAAAAAGAAGGAAATTCCAGCGCAGCACTGGTTCAGCTAAAACGAACAGGCCTGATGAAACATTCAGCAGGATGCATGAAGACGAACCAGAGAGACGATCTCAAATACAAGATCTGACTGATATGAGTAGAAGAAACTCCTTACCGTGCCATGTGACCTCCGCCGTCTCGGTGCCGTCCTCTCCGTAGACAACCCACGCGTGATCCTCCGACATGGCGAGGTGCACATCCTTGAAGCCCAGAACTTGGCAGCCAGCCACGACGGCGAAGGCGACACCGAAGCAGTCCAGCTTGTTAGCGGTCAGGTAACTGTAGAGGCTCTGCAGGTGAGCCCGATCCTTGTAATAGCTCCTGGTGAGCGAGTTCCAAATCACGTCCGAGACCTTCTTCACAAGCTCCCTGGTGGCGTACTTGGTGTCGTAAACGGTGAGGTCGACGGCGCCCTTGATGACCGCGTGGAACTTGGTGTAGAGGGCCTCGGCGATGTGGTACTCAACCGCCGGTAACTTCGGCTCGTCGTAGACGACGTTCTCCTGGGAGACGAAGGCGCGATTGCAGGTTAGGGAATTCTCCACGGCGCCGACGAGGATCGAGAGGAGCGCGAGATCCGGCTCGGGGCTGTTCTCCAGCTGATTCTTGAAGATCTGCACGATCGCGGAGATGCTCTGGATCGGGAACAGGGCCCTGTCCTCGTCCCGAAAGCCCGCCATGTCGCTGCAGACCCGCCGCCGCCGCTCGCGAGAGAGACTGGGCCGAACGCGCACGCTACGACGCTGGCCGCGATCTACGACGCCCGAGACGGGCCTGTCATAGCTTCGGCGGAGGACTCGTGACAGAAACCAAGCGCGATTCCACCGCGGGCGGTCACGTCGTATACGCCGGCTCGTTGCTGAACGCGCGCGCACTAGCGATTCCCTCGGTCAGCGGTGCTGCCAGCGAGCTGCGCGCTTCTCTCGCATCACACACACCGCACCGACGAACGCCGCGGCGACCCTCTGCCTTTTTCTCTCTCTCTGCCGCGGCGGCGCTTCACCGACCGGGGAGGAGTGTTTCCATTCGACCGCCGCGCCACGAGAGACTGGTAGGATTTTCGGCGGCGCAGTAGACGCCGAAAAAGATGCCGGCCCGACTCCACTCGCGTTGCCGTCGGGATTGCGCCGTGGATGCGTAGATCACGTCTGCGTGATTCTTCCACGGACTTCTTTCGCGCGGACGACGCGAACTTTGTCAATTGTATCGCAAAGATGAAGGATCGAGTATCGGTCTGAGTTAGGTTAAACTGTGTAAAATAGTCGGGCGCCCGGTTTCGGCGGTTAATTATGAAGATATTCCATACGGTGCTATTCGAAACTTCGGTATAATTCGACTTTTGACGACGATGCCCGAAGATTCGAGGACGGATTGTTCGAAACTTCCAAGTTTGTTCGGGAACTCAAATGAGGGAAGCGTAAATAACAAACAACGAATCTCGTTAATTTCGTTTTAAAATAAATGCAAATGTCGCCGTGCTTTGCAACAGTATGACGCGATGCGAGAAAAAATTACATTCTTCGGGGCGGTAAATACTATTTATACCTGCAAAACGGACACACGTATTTTTCAATTCTTGAAGTTTCGAATGCACAGGCGTTAAAATATTCGAACGTCCGAAAGTTCTATTTTTCACACGGCAAAATTTCATTATTCATTATAATGCGTCGGAGATTCAGAAATTCGGAGCTTCGAGGAGCCAAAGCTTCGAATATAATTTCCAGCCCTAATATTTGATATCAAAGTTAATATATCTCACACAGCAGAAAATATCCAAAATACATCATATCCTGAAGATACGCTTAATGCATAAATATTAATACACGAATATCGTTCAAGTTTACCTGCAGTGAGTTTTTGAACAGAAACAAAATATAAAAATAAGACTTGCACAAAATGCAAGGAGAAGACGAGCCATTCCATAACGGTTCATAGATTACTTATTGTTCACACATTACACATAGTTTACATTAGATTTCTCACTTCAACTTATTGCACTAGTTCAGCGGTGCGGCGAAAACGAACAGACCTATAGTCTACGCGTAGGCATGTAAACATGGAACATCGAGAATGTCACTCGGTTAAGATTTGAAAATTTCAAGATGGCGTAATCCTATTGGCCGCTCCTGCATCAGTCGCAGTCGGTTAGTCGCGGTTGGCATGTTCTCCTTTGAATACGTGCTTCGATAATTCGTTCCACTATTGTGTTCCATGTTACTCGAAAACATTGGGAAGATCGTAAGACTACCGTCGTGATCGCAACCGTTGTATCGCGTGTCTTGACGTTCGAGTTGATCGTGACATCAAAATGAAGGTAACAATAAAAAGTAAGTACTTTCGGGAACATCGACGTTTCACTTGTGCAAACATTTCACATCGTGATCATAATGCGTGATCGTAATGCGATCATAATGATGATGGAATCATATTTGCACGTAATGTTTAATGTTCGTGCACATGGTTATGTTTGTTGCGCCCAATGTTTATACGCTTACTCGGCGTCTTGAAGTATCTCTCGTGTAGACTGGCGACTGTAACCTTTACTTTCAGGCTGGACTGGAGTCGCCACCTGGCGTTGGATAGCGAACGACGATAATTGCGGCATTTGCAGAATGCCATTCGACGCCAGCTGTCCGGACTGTAAAATTCCCGGAGACGATTGTCCGCTAGGTATTTCGTACATCTTTTTCCACCTTGCGAAAAACAATTTATGTACATATATAACCTGCGCACACATACACGTACACATCCCAGTAAACACCAACCAACACATACACAACAGTTACATCGTTGATCGGGAAATAACATTGTCGTAATTCTCCTGTTAATCGATGTTTACTGGGATGTATATGTACACATATACGTAGCGCACAATGCGTTACCTTTCTACCAGTCAAACCTGTCAACAGAATTGCGTCGCCGAAAAATACATTTCACCGCCGATTACACCTTCGCTAAAATTACATTCGTTAGAATAATGCGAGAGGGATTTCGGAATGAGGATCTTTCCAACACAACCGCGACTCGGTTTTATCTCGCGTGATCCCATACGCACACGCGTCGCGTGAGCGTAAGAATCGCGGATGAAAGATGCATCTGAGCGGCGTAGGCGGCGTGACGGCTCGTAAAATGCCGCCACGGCGAGAGCGCGTGTCCGCGCGACGGCGCGCGATATCGATCGACGCGTGGCCCGGCCGGCGGATAAACCGCTGCCCCTCGCCTTCTGGCCTTCACATCGATGCGCGTGCACGGCGAACGCACGCACGTCCGTATGTCCGTCCGTCCGGTCGCTCTCCCCCCTACCCGCCAGGTGCGCGTTCCATGCGCGAGGTCCGAGGACGAAATTAATTTAACGCGCGACCGACGCGACTTCTTGTTTCCAGTGTGGGGGCAGTGCTCGCATTGTTTCCACATACACTGCATCATGAAGTGGCTGCACTCCCAGCAAGCCAGCCACATCTGCCCGATGTGCCGCCAGGAGTGGAAGTTCAAGGAGTAACCGACGCTTTGCGCACGGGCCCGCAGGTGTCAGCACGCAGCGAGTAATCAGCAGGTAACGCGCGCGTCCGTCCTTCGCCCCGGATCCGCACTTCCACGTCTCTCTCCCCTCGGTCAGGCTTGGAAGTGGTGACGATTGAAAAAAACGCTCATTTCGGAGGGAGTGTCGTGAGTGACGTAGACGTTGCAACGACGAGGTGCCCACGAGATGCTACTTGGAGCCGAGTCAGTTGATCACGTCGACAGCTGCGTTTTCACAAGGCAACCTAAAATCTGACCCAGTAACACTCGTGATCCGCACTCGCATGACCTGCCTGAAACCGATGTGATAAGTCTCGATACTGCGACTGCCAACGTTATATGTCGTACAATTACACGCGTAATTATTTATACGACATGTAACATTGATAGCCTCTCACACCGGATATTCTAAACCGGTTCTATGCTGTTCGCGTAGACTTGGATTACGGAAATTATTAATGCCTGTTTCTTACCACCATGGTTTGAGTCCAATCGACGACTGACTCAGCGGAATTGACCAATCGCATTGGCTGAATCGATCGATGCCATTGGTAAACTCTATTGAGCTAATCGTCGATTAGATTTGTGACGGTAGAAGCGGTTGCAAATCGAATTTAGTTCAATATGTAAACATAGCCAATATCTTCCGCCTTTGTTTCTATAATCTAAATAAAAGACTTTGTATCTCTGTGAGCCAGATTCCCCCCACGGCCGGTCCGACAAAGAAAAGCCGCGGATGCTCGATATCACCGACGTCGATCAAACCTAAGCTTAATTCTTTGTCCGAAGAGACTTTAAACTCGGGTTAAGGTCCAAACGACGTTGTCGGTGAAATCGAATGAGACAAGGCGATGAAACGTCGGCGGCTGACAGCGCGCCTCGTGACTTCATGATCCGCTCGTAAACATACGTTTCTCAGATTGATCGCACGCATCACGGCATGATCAATCCTCTCGGCAGGGTGTTCATCGAAAACGTCAAACGCGCAGAGATCAGTGTCAGCCGCCCGGCGAATGACTCGTGTTTCCCGAGGAAATGGCAGGCATGCTAAATTCAAGGTATTATCTAAAGTGCATCCATCCGTTGACGATTAATCTCGCCTGCCGCACGGCAACCCGGCGTGCATTTCCGCGTGCACAGTTGTGACCGGTGCGACCGGTCTCTTTGAAAACTTCACTTTCCACCGCGGCGGTAATCCGCTCGATGGAAAAAAAAGTCCCCGTACTCGTCAGGTTTTCTTAGAAGAATTTTTCTCAACGAGTCGCGCTCGCAATTAACATTTTTCTCGGCGCGCAAGCCGCGTCCGTGTATACAAGGTGTCTTTTTCTCTCGGCGAAACCGTGTATTGACAATGAGGCGACGTTGTCGACGGTTTGATGTGGCGATCAGCCCGCCGGTAACGGCAACTCGAATCTATTTAGTGAAACTTCTTTGGCTTTCTTCCTCGTGGTGGAGAGGTATGCTCGCGGTTTGAGAGATCGACGCGCGGTCTGCTGCGTCACGCTTATTTGCGCTCGCAGATCAGCTTTTCTTGTCGTACCAATGGGTGGCACATGGATTCGTTGAATTATTAATAAGTCGATGTGTGTGTCAGCGTCTCTTTTTCTTTTTTCTCTTTCTCTCTGTGTTTCTCTCTCTCTCTCTTTCTCTCTCACGTGTATGTTCCGCGTGTATCCAAGAATGTAACGTAATAGTCGCGGAATAATCGTTTTCTCTCGGCTGCGGTCCCACCGTCGGGGCTCCTTTCTGCGCTTTAATTGCGGGAACGCGTAGCTCGCCGACATAATCGCGCGTGGAAACTCCGACTCCGTTTAATGGAACGCGGAGCGCGAATGCGTGAACAGATTGTGAACGAAAGCCGGACAAGCACCGCGCGGGCGAGTCTTTGTATTTTTCTTTTTTCTTTTCCCTTTTTTTTTTTTCATTTCACCCGGCGATTTTATCTCAATTATTTTGCAGTTCTTCTGTGGAAGCGACTTGACGTTTACGCTGAGGGAAACGCCGAGTTATTTATCGCGAGGAAGAGTTCCGGTGGAGCGAGCTCCAATCGGCACAGTCGGATAAAACGACGGTCAAAGTGCACAGTGACGGGAATAGCACGCTGCTTCATGTTCAAGAGGCGTCTTCATACTTTTTATTGGCGCTCGAACAAACGGTAGTCAAATATCAGCTCGTAGAGAAAAGTCGTTAACCTATCGCAAGGATAATTAAAAGCCCGTTTGCAGAGCAATTTCTGACGTATTTATTGTTTCTTGAACATCTTGAGATAAAGTATCGGGTTGACGCAAAAATTCGTCTCGTTTTTTCGTCATTTCTTCGCTGAGAGTCATTGAGAAAAATAATTTGGAGGGACAACAAATTTATGCTTCCCGTGGCAATTAAATAAATATACCGGATATTTTTTGAAGTATTGTCCAATATTTTAAGACTTGATTTTTAAGACGTAATTTCACAAGAAAAAGTTTATGTGAACATATGTCCATTCCTTCATAAAATGACCTCGAAAACTCGAAAATATCTGGTAGTATTTAAGGCAGTTGTAGCAAAAAATGAGTTTTTTTTTTAATTCGTTAAAACTTGCACCATATATAGATTTGAATATGACCTAATCATTGACGCAAGTAGATAGAAAACAATTGACCATTCGGAAGTTTCGCATCTAAAAATGACATTCTTTAGACACATTCCTTGAGGTTAATGTTCTATTTTTGTTCCGAAGTCATACTTCGCAAAGCCGATGTATGTTTCTCTTAATTTCGCTCAAAATTAACATCTATTACTCGGATAGTTGAACAAAGTTACAGGATAGTATTTTCTTCGGTAAACAATAAACTTGTGTAAACTTTAATATCGCCACTGAAAATCCGGCACTCTATACATATTCACTTACTTTACGACGGCATAAAAGGAGTGGCGGTTCCTCGGAATTATTTTCCTCCGTGCACGAGGATGAGTGGAAAGAAAAAAAATAAAATGGCGCGCCAACCGCGTTGTGGGATTCGAAACCTGCATTTCGATCACGCGTATCGCGAAACCCCGTGACCCAGAAATCGAATTTGTTTTGACGGCCTCATAGCGGTCGAACGTCTCCGAGCGACACTCGACGATCCGATTTCGACCGGTCTAGGAACCGGCCGGGCCGCGCCGAGCGGGCGCCGATTTGCATTTTATCGCGGGAGATCGGCCGCAAAAGTGGAACGAGCCGAGTTTTTGCCCGAGCCGCGAAACAGAGTGTGAATAAATTCCGAGCCCGCGTTTCCCGGCCGAGACGTGCCACTTCGGGCTTAATTGCGCCGTGAATGGCCGGACGATAAATGCAGCGCGATCGGACTGATAACGGCTCGCTCGTATCATCGCGGTGTCGACCCGCGTAACGCGCTATCGGCCCGGCTATTCCGCGGCCGATCTCCGTGACCTCGCTGCGCTCCAATGTCGTGAGATATTTATAGAACACCCGGAAAACGTACATTGAGTGACAATATGCAAAATATAATTGGCATAATCTCTCGAACGAGACATTTGCACGCGGAAGAAGCACAATGCGAATACAATGTTAATCCGTTTTACATAAGGATACATATTGAACTGTCTCCCCTTTTATTAAATTTTATAATAGTAATAATAATAAATATTTGTCGACGAGAAAGCCTGTTTGGTTTAACATAAATAGACACTACATAGATAAACTTATATATAGAAAAGGAGTACAAAGAAATATTCAGTTCGACGATACGATAAATAAGAAATAAATGTACGAATGTAATACGAGCGGAAAATTGCAATGACACATCGCATATAAGACTGACTCTAGAGTCTATTTTAAAGTCTTGCAGTACCGCGTCTCTCGAAGACGTTAAAAACAAACACAAACGAGACTCCGAGCGTGGGGGGGAGGGGAGGCGTTAATAAAGCGAATTACGCGAATCAAGGATAATGACGCTTCCGTGGAATCTTTCTTCCGCAATCTTCGAACGCAGAGCCATGCGGCAAGAAGAAGAAACGGAGATGAGCTGTAAAATGTCGCGCAAGCTACGGCACTGGCGAGCGGACCTCCACGCTTTGGGGCAGCAGCTCGTAGCGAGGCGGGAAGGGGGAATCTAATGGGTCCCTTCCCTTTTCGCCGTCTCGCTCCGTTCGCCTTTTCCACCACGACGACCCTTCTCTCTTTCTCCCTTCTCTCCCGTCTCGCCCTTCTCGTCCGCTACGGGTTACTCTCTCACGCGATACCACGGCGATACCGGCCGCGATGCACACCTACACTCAACGGTGGAAGGTAGCGAGACGGGCCCAGAGAGAAAGAGAAAAAGAGAGGCGGTTCAATTCGAGCCCAAGGGTTCGTTTCATAACACGACGTGTAGCTCTCTTAATAATCATAATCGCGTTAATTGCACCGGGGAATTTTATTCCCATCCGGACGTTTCCCTTTCGCGATACTCGTTCTCTCGTTTTTCGCGACTTTCGGAACCTTTTGCACGGCAAATGTTGGGACAATTTCAAGACCGAGCTCAGAATAATAACGGCAATTTTAATGATCACGAAAGAAAAGAAGAGTAAGTAATACGCGGAAATGAAAGTTTGCTCTGAGGGGAATTATAGTTACTCCCGGCCTCAATTAGACTTTTCTTATAGTTTTAGCCGCAAATAGCGGTAATAGCAGTATTTGTGCGAAATATTATCATCGACACTAAAAATAACACCTACTGTAAAAATTATTTTTCTAACTATAATTCTTTCATGATGATGATTAATAGTTACAAATACCAAGTATTTTTCTCACATTGTGATTGGATTTACCTGACAATGGACAAACCAAATGCGTTTTGCTTGAATTTACCTGACAATGAACAAGCCAAAACGCATTTAGTTGTTTGTTCATTGCCGGGTAAATTCAACCACACTTTTTCTTGCGTGGTACAAAGTATACAAATAGCGCGGAAAGATTGCGAAAGGTTATACTTTATCACATCACGTTCGTGTTTTTATCATCGTGTGCATATGGCAGTCTTTACGAGGGATTGTGGTGACGTCTGTGCCCCATTGAGATGCGAAGGTCGATACATGCGATATCGATAAAGTGCGAACGTTGCTTGCCCCACAAAGTCTGGAAAATTCGTATTTATCGCGAATCGCCACTTCGCGTTCGCGCCGATGCGAGTAATGCGTTCGCGAAACGAATGTATTCGCGGGTAATTAGCTGTTACACCTGAATATGATGAAAAGGAGCGGTATGCGACGGTTACCGTGAAGCGTGCGTCCTGTAATTCCATCGCGTCACGGCGAAATCGGCTTACATAAACTTAAGCAATCTCGGGCAACTGTATTTAATTAGAACTCGCCGGCCAAGTAGACCTCGGTGCCGTAATTGAATGGTTCTACGATCGTGATATCACGTTCCTCTCTAACGAGTTCTACGAATTTTGTCGTCGCGTTTAACATATCTGAGGTAGAAGAAAGAAACATTATACGAACGCTGGAAAAAATTATAATTACTTTCGATCTTACAAAAATAATTACTTCCGGTCTTTCAAACATCTTTCAGACAACTTTTTACGTAGTTTTAATCAGAAAAATAATGTGGTGGCAATATGCATGTAAAGTTATTATCACTGACACAATAGTAACACCTGCTAGAAAAATGGTTCTCCTGGCACGAAGGAAAATATTCTACTGCTAAGAAAAGCGATTGCTCAGTTTAGTTTCCTTTATTTAAAAGTACGTTATCTTCAACGAAGAATATTTTCTTGATAATAGTCCTTAAATATACTAATCACGAAGTTTAGGAAAGTTTATTGTGACGTACTTAAAAATAAATTTATTCTCTCAAGAATATTATAAACTTTATCGAGGAAAAGTTAAATTTGTTATTTTTGATATATATTTGGTATATATTAAATTATTGGTATATATTAAATATTGTCCCATTAAAACGAAAGGAGTTCTTTAATATTTGTCTAACGTAGTGTCGCTTCTTTCGAATATTTTATTGTTTATGATGACCACTGTAATGCTTGGATGAACACACAAAGGTAATATGTTATTTGACAGAAAGATATTTATTATTTGAGAAACCAGATAATCCGGTTTGTTGAATCGAACATGCATTTGCTTACTTCGTTCCAAAATTAGTTTCAATTGAAGAAATATTATTAAATCCGAAGAAATCTTTCTCCGTGCATGATGATTATAATTACAAGTACCAAATATTCTCTCAATGCGCACACAGTAACAGTAATGAAAATGCGAACGTCGACCACTCTCGGGTGTCCCCTGAAAACTGAGAGAAGCTCGGAGTTGAAATTCCTCTCTCTGGAATTTAGATTCTCGTTTCCGATATCTCTCTCTCTCTCTCTCTCTCTCTCGTGGGGCACAGAAGCCCAGCCCCCCGGATACCTCAACGGAGTCGAGGACGCTGGAATGCGCCGTGAAAATAACACCGGGAAAAATAACATCCCCAGGAAGAAGCTCCGGCGGTCTACCGGCGACGTTAGAAAGTGTGACCGCGACTTTCCGCGACTGAGGTTTTAGAACGGCCGCCGCGCCTTTTCTTCCCCAGATCTCCCGATTTTACGTAACGATCCTCGAGCGATCTATAAACGCCGGCGTCGCGTTTTCCCTATCCGATTGGCGACTGAGGCGCGATCGCTATGCTAAGATCGCTAAGAGACCAGTGTTCAAGTCTCCACCATCAATCGCGGCCTTCTTTACATTTACCTCTGCTCCCTCTCGGTGCCCTCCGCGCGCGCACACACGCATACAAACACACGCGGCATACCCGCTCATTTATTCACTTGTTCACTCGCTCGCTCGGTCATCCGCTCGCTCGCTCGTTCACACGCACACACACACATTCACTGACTACCTGACGAGAACTCGAGCTCGGGCGAGTCACGTGGCCACCGATCGCGAAGGATGTTTGCGGGATCGCCAAGTCAGTCCGCGGCGGTCGGCTCGTCGAGAAAGAGAGGAGGCTCGATCGGCCGGACGAAGTAGAGAGAGACGGAGATACTGGATCGGAGGTGTACCGCCCGGGGTCTCGGGATCGTCTCTAGCTCTACCTGTCCGACGGCATTCGGTGCGCGTCGCTTCAGGTTTTTCCTCGCGGGTTCACGCGGGTGTGTGTACGCGCCGAGTGTTCTCTCGCGTTCGCCGCGGAATCGAGCTGACGAGGAAGGGGAATCCTCGGATGCTTCCTTTCGTCCAACACGGCTTCCGGGCCGAAAATCAAGTCTCGGGGCGTAATCGAGGCTCGACGTTAGGCGGGGGCCGAGTGTTTCCCTGATTGATCGGCGCGTTAGAAAGCGGACGCCGCTTTCGATCGCGCGGCGTTCTCGCGCGCGGAGTAGACGCGATGTGACTCCGTCGCGGGTGTGTGATGTGTGCGGGTGAGAAGTCGTCAGCACCTGGGGAACCAGCGTCCTCGGCTTCCCTTCGCGCGCCGACTGACAAACGATAACGGCGGCTCGTTATCGCGAGCGTTCCCGATTTCGCCGCGAGGCTCGCGAGGGAGAAACGAGGGAGGAGGAGCGCGAAAGGTGAGCGCGGAAAGGTGAGCACCGCTCAGCTTTTCGACGGGCGATCTTTCGCGCGATCGCCGCATCTGTCCCGCATCGCGAACAGTTGGCGCGCGCGCGCGCGATAGAAAGTTTATTCGCGCGTGTGCGATAAGCCAGGTCGCGGGTTGGCAGCTCGCGCTGAGGAGGATCGCGGGATCGGCGAGTCCTACCTGCGCGGTCTCCTCGTGAAAAGAAAGCACCGGAGCGATCGAGATAGAAAGGCCGGAGTATCGAGGCCGCAACTGAGCCACATCTCTCGGCTGAATCCGAGCTGAATGGGAGAAAGGAGCGTAGGAGAAGCCGAGAGACTTTTGTGGAAAATCACCGCGGGATCCTTGAACCGCGCGACGGAATTGTATGCAAAAGCGCGCGCGGTTTCGCAACGCGCGGCTCGCTCGAGCAGGAAGGAGAATTTCCGAAATCGCCGAGCTTGGGCCGGTTAACGATGTGCTTGTAAGGAACACACGACGCACCGGAATTGTATGCAAAATCACTGCGCGATATCGCGCGGCATCGGTGATCGCGCTCGACCCGCTTGCGAATAAAGAGGACGAGGCGGGAGTGCTCGAGGGGGAGAGAAACGAAAGAGAAGCGAAGGAGAAGGAAACTCGAGGCGAATCGAGGGTACCGCAGGACGGCGGTAACGATCTCGCTGGCGCAACGCGGCGCAAAAGCGCGTGCAACATTGCACAACGTCGTCAGCCCGGGCGCAACTTTTCCGAAACAACGCGGCGTCGTCCGCCGTGATGATCGCTTTATCTACCTGAACAGCCGGTGAACTGACTCATCGCGTTATCGCTGAGAGAGCGTGAAACATCGCCGAGGCAAATATTGAGTCGGCCGAGGAATTCGAGGAGTGAGCGAGAGCGAGCGATCCGACACCGCCGGCGCGAAAAGCGTCGCGCGAGTTTGCCGAGCGCACACAACGCCGTTTTGTACATTCTTCGCTCGGCCTCGCGCGATAAACACGGTGATAAACGTCGCCTCTTATCTCCCGCGAAGAAGCTCCGCGGAGCGTTCGTTTCCCTCTCTTCCTCTCGCGCGTCAGGTGAAGGTATCTCGCATCGCCACTGACATTTAGTCATTGCGAAGTAACGCCGCGCGTGCCTGCCTCGGCGAAATTGCGGGTCAGTCGATCGAAAAGCTCACGGGTGATCGCCGATGATAATCGCGAGAAATTATCCTCCGCTCGGGAATTTCGTCACGTCCTCTCCGCCGGGCCTCTCTTTCTCTCTCGCGCCGTATTTTGTCCGCAGTGCGAACTATTTGAGGCGTCGCGGCGTGAGTGCGCGAAATCGCCAGCCGGTGTGAAACCGAAGTGGCCGAGGGTGCAGCCGCGGATGAATCGTTATCTCGGGAGCGGCCGATTTCGTTTCTGATACGCCGATTTTATCCGCACCGCGAAGTGTGTCGCGTACGCTCTCATTGTCACGCGTTCGGGCTCGCGTCGAGAATGATAGTCGGTTAGGTCGGCGCGAAAAAGCAGCGGAATGCAGCTGGCGACCAGTCAGAGGCCTCACCCGCCTCCGGTGCCGCCTCGGCCGAGTCGGCAGGTGGTTGCGGAGGCCCTTAAGAGATCGCCAAGGCCGCCCTGCCCCACCAGGCAGGCCCCGCCGCCGCCGAACACGAAGCCCTGGAGATCCAGTCAGCAGCAGCTTCAACAACAACAAGTACAACAACAGGTGTCCCCGACCGGCGGACGTACGATCGTGTACGAGTCCACCAAGGAGTGCGCGAAGGACTGTAAGGACGAGACCGTGCTGAGCGAGGGAAACCAACGGGATCCGAAGCGAGGCGCGACTATCGACAGAAACAACGACGAGGATAGCTGTTGTCCTGAAAATCCGGCGGATCGCCGAAAATCGAACGACGGCAAGATCCTGGTCACGCCTCACGATCACCACCATCACCAGCAGCAGCACGAGAGCGGCAGTGCTCCGGAGAAGACCCAAGCGATATACCCCGTAGGAAAGCTCGCGAGCAACGTGGTGCGCAAGCGAAACAGCCTGACCGAGGAGCAACGGCCGTGCAGGCCGTTGGAGGTCCGCCGGAACTCCCGCGGGAAGGACCAGGCGAATCCAGCGGAGCACCCAAGCCGGTGCAAGGACTCGCCCGGTAAAGATCAACGGAGGGAGGACACCTCGACGGAGAGGGCGGTCGAAGTGGCGGCCGTCGGCTCGAAAGACCGACCCNCGGCCGTCGGCTCGAAAGACCGACCCGAGCCGGCGTCGAGGGCTCCGCCGCCGGTGGCTGCCAGGAGCAACGTGTCCTTCGAAGACGAGCATCGTGCGTCTTCCAGCCCGGATTCCGGCCGAGTCGCGGTGACTCATTCGGAAAAACGCAGCCCGGAGAGAGAGGCGAACGGGCAGGACGTTCGGCCGACGCCCACGTGCAGATTGTGTCCCGCTGAGCAGGAAGCGTCCTTGGCGAGTGAAAAGGCTATCAGAAACGGCGCCGAGGCTGCGATCGAGAGATCAGGCAAGCCGACGAGCGGCCTCCCGAGCGTTGACCGCGCCACCACGGTGTTGGTCGTCGACGACGAAGCGGAGCGTAAAGTCCTCACGCCCGACGACGACGAAGACAGTCACGACAGCGACAACAACATCCACCGGCAGGACTGGCTGGAGGCGGGGGTCCGTTACTCCTCCACGCAGATCACCCTGCACGGCGACGGCGACGCCGTCGACGGGGACCGCGTCAACGGTTACGACCATCGCGAGGAGGAGAGAATTACCGACCTTGATTTCATCAGGTAGAGCGGAACCGCGTTATTGGGAGAAATGCTACCTCGCTGGCGGTGTTATCGCACGATGCTCCGCAAGAACGAATCATCGATTTCGTCCTGCGCTGTTGAACTGTAACAAGGCTTTTCGTTGCATTTTTTTTTTTTTATAACATTGCTTCTCTAATATCTGAAAATTTATTTATTACCCGTATCTAGTCAGTCTGAAAAGCTAGCTGGCATTGGCTAGATTAGGTTTTCTAGCTCGATACCGGTTCATTAGCGGCTGATATTCACTAATGTAGAATCGATTTTGTGATCCAACCGTTGTCTGAAAATATATAATCCAACTAATATACCCGCCACTGACATCTACAAAGAAGATAGTCAACTAAAATTGAGGGTACATTATTCCATAAAAATCTTAACAAAACCGAAGTGAGTGTTACATTACTGCCTGGCAATTAGTTACGATTTTTTATCTTGTAGCTGTAATGTTTTTTGTTAATCGTCAGCTAACTTATTTACTTAACCATTATTTAGTCATTAGAAGAAGTGAACATTACGCATCACTGGACTAATGGTGACGTTAGACACAAATTTGCTACCTCGTGGCTGGACACCCACGAGATTTAATTTCTACTATGGTAATTAATAATAATAATAATGATGACAACTCACCCTGGGACAATGAAATGCTATTATTTTGACTGCGCAATATGACTGACAGAAACATCGCTGTTACCTGTGTAAATCTGTTACATAAACGATGATCCGTGACATGTACAGAGTATCTGTGTGTGTATATTATTAACGACGTATTAATTATAGAGAGATAGAGAGAGAGAGAGAGAAAGAGAGAGAGATCACGATAGCTGCAGGGTCTGCATTTTATTGCCATACATCCGCGCATTGGTTCGTTGCAAGTCTGAATGCAACGATCCGGTAATACGATTGCGCCGCTTTCCCGTATCGCACGATAAATGCCGTGTTGACCGGCCGTAAAAACTAACTGCTCGTTAGTGTAACGAACGCTCGAAAAAAAAGTACGCTCTCGTAGATAGTTTGTTTTTATTTGTTTCTCTCCCATTCTTTCTTTCTTTTCATTTCCCCGACATGCTCAGTCGCGATTCTCTCGATTTCGAAGTTCTAGAAAATCCCGAAACTCTATTCTCTCTCAATTCTCTTTGGTGAAAACACCTGAAAAAGCGACAACCTGTCTTTGATCTTATCGATCACGAGATTATAAAATTACGAAACTCATTTATGAACCTTCACAGCGTGAATATAAAAATACGAAAAGATATAACTAGACATTTCAGAAATCACAGCATACGTATATATACGTAGAAAATACTACATAGTAAAAATGTTAATATTAATTATAAATTCATATTCTCATACATAAGAAAGAATATATAATCTTATATGAAAATCAAACTTGCTCTTACATGAAAAAATTCTGTATAGTTCTTAAAAATATATCCATGTTATTTAAGAATAATTTTTATGAATCGGGAGGAAAAAATGTTGGATTGAAAGAACGATATCTTTGCAAACTAACACAATTCTTAGTTTGAAGATATTCTTTCTATCCAGTATTTTTTCTTCTCAATTCCTGAAAATTATTCTTGAATAACAAAAATATATATTTTTTAATAGAATTATATAGAATTTCTTTAGTTGGAAACTAAGTTTTATCTTACAAGATTATATATTTTTCTTTATATATGAGAATATGAATCTTGAATTGATACTAATTTTTTTCATATAACAAGAAAAAAGAGAAAAA